GGGGGGGGGGGGGGGGGGGGGGGGGGATTTAAATCTAGAAAATTTAAAACTGGTAAGACTGACTACATCCCCAACTCTGTTCTCTTTTGTGCTTAAATATAAGACCAATCGGGTGGCAGAAATTAGCTGCTTGCACTAGCATTTTCCTATGTGCAGTTTGGCAACAGTATGAATAAGCGAAAACAGGCTTAAAATTGAACTCATATAACCTACGTGTCATTATGTTTAACCTACAGTATTGTTTGCCAAGATAATTTACAATTGTGGGGGAAGGGAAATTTGCTGGACAACTGTGGCAAAACTAAGCAGCAGTGTCAGTCTAAGTAGGTTAAAACCTAGTTCACACTTCAGACTCCTGGCTTCAGTTCCTTTTCATAGGCCATCCCTCATGTAAACCCTTCCACCTGTTTTGTCCCTTTATTTTTGGCTGAAAGAGTCCAGCACTGCTGTAAAACAGAAGCTATGCAACTGAATGCAGATTTGGCATTCTGAAGCTTAAAAGGAACACCAACAATGATACAACACAGTAGTTGTTAGATGAGCATCTTTTTCTACCAAGTCTCCCTTCCCCACTCTGATCTCCATGCATGGTGAATTTTCTGGAGTAGGCAAAAATGGTCCTGTGACTCTCAATCTACTCCAAACTACTCAAGATCCACACCTCTCTGCCACCAAAACTTCCTACGTACAGGATAGGTAGTGAGAGTGATATTCAAAAAAAAAAAAAGTGAAATATTGGAGGGTTTTACTTCCACCCTTACGAGGGCAACCACATACATGTTTACAGCTGTCAAAGGCTAATAGCCAAAAGGATCAACCTTCTGAACTCTATTTTAGCATTTATGCACCACAGCTGCAATAACTGAATTAATATTGTCACAATAATAGCTTCACAAGCTTTAATTTAAAGATGAAGTTTAGCCTTTAGACATGCAAAGAAAGCCAGCAGAGGTATGTCTGAACTGATGCAATACATGGCCTTTAATTGCATTATGACATGAATTGTTCCCATTCACCTCTGTAGATAAAGAAGAGATGATGCCTCCTATTCACGGTGCTGTGAAGACTTAAGTTTCCTGGATCCATAACAATGGCTCCCTTCACTTTTCCTGGAAGTCAAAAGGCTGCTATGGCACTCATGCCCTGGCTCTCAGAGCCTGTTTCCCTTCAATAGATGTGCAGAACAGAGTGCACTTTAAAATAATACTACCTGTTGGGGATGGGAACAGGTTCAGAAGTACAGTGCTGTCGCTGTTAATGTAGTTCCTTGCTCTTTAAATCTTCAGCATCCAGTGTAAATGCACAGAACAGCAGCAGTATGATTAAGTATTGATTACTTCCCCTAATACAGAGATATTAAATCAAGATAGAAGAATATCGCCACTTTTGTAGTGAAACTTCTACAATGCCCACACAAACACATCTTGATTTTTCTTTTGTGACAGTGTACAGTTTAGGGGGAAGAGGAGGGTCAAAATCTTGCTCCAAGTTATTTGCTTTCTCAGTGTTCAAAATCTCAACAGAGAAAGCAACCACCTGAAAAGTCAAAGAAAAGTTACAGACAGTGACACACTGACTTCCAGCCTCAAAGAAACCATGAATAATTTGGGATTAGGCTGCATAATTCAAGCTATTGAAACCTGATTGTTTCAAGCAATATCCTGAAAATGGAAAGGAAATCTGATTAAGTTATATTTTGGTATTTGCTATTACTTGTCTTACAGGCCAAAATTTTTTTTTTTTTTTTTTTTTAAATTGCCTTACTACAAACCAGAGGTTTGATCCTGTAAACACTACCAGCAGGAACACTGTCCAAGTATTCCCAAAAACTAGCACAAAGTGCAACTAACAGTGTCATGTGTATTATTTTAATTGCCAATTTGATTTCATATTGTCATAATCATATCAGCAATGTTAAGAACATCTCTTTGCCACTCATTTTTGCATTCAGATTGCTTTTACAAGGCTAGAGTATCTGTTATGGGCAATACCGTCAAAAGATAACAGGAGCCATGTAATAAATTCAACCCACAGGTTTTGCATAAAATAACATTTTTTTTTCACCTAATTTATTTAAATTTCCAATTCTTCCAATTCCAAACAAAAGCTAAATACAAATTTGAAACAGGTAAGCACTAGTTTTATCCAAAGGGAGCAGGTTTATATAGATTTACTCCAGTAAGGTACTCAACCCTTAAGCAAAGCCTTCGTCATCAAAACTATACAGTAGTCTTCCTTATTTCATTGCACAATCTTCATGTTCTGTCAGAACCAACTTTTGACACTCCAAACACTATTTTACAGTTCACTGCTTTATAATGTCTATTCCAAAAAAACCTCAAGGGGTTTTCCATAAGAAATGTTTTAGAAACCAGTATTTCCTGCACAGTTCACCAGCAAGTTTACAAGTCTCAACTCTCAGGAAAAAATAATCTTCTACCAACATTGTTTCTGCAGCTATATTTTTACTTCAATTTTAGCTGCTTTAGTTACTTCAGACTCCAGGTCTGCCTCAATCTGTATAAATGTATCCAACTCTCATACAGTTATACAGCAACTTGGGGAAAGAGATCCAAAAATGAAAGTGCCAGTAAACTTAAACATGGCCCAGCAAAATAAAAAAGGCAAGACATGCCTACATTAAATGAGATGCTTTTTTCCTTAAGATTTCTTTCCCGTGTTTACTTTTCTATTGTTAATAGCCACTTTTCTGTTCATTTAAATGAATCTGATAGTGCTGTTTAATACAATCATTAACAGCAAAGCTAAGGCTTTATACCTGTTACATTCACTTCTCACCCTTGCAATACTGATGACTAACATTATAGATGTTAGGGGGAAAATGACCAGCACAAATGGGAATACCACCACAAATGATCACCTCGTGCTTTCAGATACATTTGTTTCAGTGTACAACAGTCTCTTCATTTCACATTTAGTAAGATGCTGATGCAATGCAGAAGTGTGCAGAGCATCCTCTCTTTCATAAGGTCCATGCAGAAAACATTTAAAAAAAATTAAAAGTTCTGAGATACAAATGAAAAAAAAAATCCAGAATGACCACGTTTCACAATGTATAGTGTTCTGAACATGAGTCCATTTTCTTCTACATTCTGAAAGAATAAAAGTGGTGAGGAAAGTAAGAATTCACTGCTGCTTTCTGTGATCTTCCCCATTTTGCTGGCCAGTACCCTACTCTGGCATATAAGGACGGAGGTGCTCCTCTATGGTACCAACCGCCCAGTGGGTGAGCTGTTCCTGTGGCAGGTACAGGCAGATGCTGCATAACTTGAAGATTGTAGCTTTGTTTTTTGGAGTCTGGAAATACATATAAAAAGTTAAGTATGTAGTTTTTTTCCACCCTACCCCAGACACAGTTGCACCAAAAACACCTTGAATATAGTGTAAATTCTACACGTTTCAACTCCTTCTGTATGTATCAGAGTCTGTCTGATCAAAACTAGGCACTGTCAACCTAAAAAAAGTTTTTAGAACTCTGGGATGCAACCCCAGGATAAAGTAAGTAGCACAGGCCTTGGCAAAACAAATGGAATTTCGTAACTTCTTTCCACAATGATTTAATATTATCTGTACAACAATGAAGGATTTATACAATATATTTTGTATACAAAACAAGTCACACATTTCTATATACAAAAAACAAACACTGAAACCATCTCAGGTTCAAATTTCAGCTCTCATAGGATATGCAAGTTATTGCCTACTAGCCTACATAAGGCAGGAGCAGCACTCTTTCCTGCTTCAAGATCAGAGTTCTAGCACTAAAGGACACTGATGTTTGACTAGTTTTTCCAAAAGATACTTCAACGGCCATGGAGAGTGCATGCATGGTGAGATTTATAGACTCACTTCTTCAGTCAGGGTGTCCAGACTGTGGAATAATCTCCCTCCAGAGGTGGTACAATTGCCTACCCTGGAAATCTTTAAGAGGAGACTAGACATTCACCTTGCTGGGGTCACCTGACCCCCAGTTATCTTTCCTGCTTGGTGCAGGGGGCTAGACCTGATGATCTTCCGAGGTCCCTTTCGGCCTTACAATCTATGAATCATGGCCCAAGTCATTTGGCCCTTTGAGACAGTCAGGCTAGAATTCTCCTGGGGTAATTAGAACTTACTTCTCCATTTGCTCTGATCACACTCAGTGGATACTACAGCATCACACACAGTATTTACGCATTATACTATTCCCTATACCAGGAAGCCTGCATTTGCCTCAAGTTTACCAGTAGCATACTTTATTTAAGCAACACAATGTTCATTTAAGCACCTATTCAGGTGTAAGAGAAGCTGGTGAAAAAGAATAGGTATCTAGGAAGACTTCTGCAGCCTCTCTGGATGTGGGGCAAAGAAATAAACCCAAGAAGATCAAGAGTATTTAGGCCAGAAACAAAAGAGTTTTGTTTTTGTGGGGGTTTTGTTTGTTTTTGGGGGTGGGGTCTGCTTATTTTTAAGTACATACATTTAGAAAAGTAAGTCATGTCTGAATAAATAAGGGTCACGACTTGAATTTCAAATCTTTGGACCCTGAACGGGCAGACATACTTCACAGGAATAACTGCAGTAGCCGAATGAGGGTGTACTTACAATTATCCATTATCTTCAAAATCTTATTTGCTTTGTCTTTACACAAAATCATTACATTTTAAAACATATTACATTTCAATGACCAGGATGTGAATGTTGATACTGATTTTAAAGTTTCATGCCATTTCTGCTACAAGAGGGGACAAGTATTTTTAGAGACTACAAGACACCAAAGTGAACACAGCTTTCCAGAACACTAATAGTTAGTATTTTGATGCCCCTGAACACATGGGAAATCTATTTTTGTCTACTGCTGCTTTAACTAAATCTAAAGCAGCAAGAAAGAGCATTAAGAGTAAAAAGATTTAGCAAGCAAAATAGTACAGCATGCAAGCAGCAAGGCTCAGAACAATCCCTGAATTCTGTGGCACAATCCACCAAAAGAATTGCGATAGATGCTACTGTTATGTAAGTCCCAATTTAAAAGGTTTGTTTTACAGTGCTCCAAGCAAGTATTCTGATGAGTCAGTGACTGCAGTAAGATGTTTTACATACTATGTAGCTTAAATGCAGAAGAACCTGAAAAGCTAAAGGGAAGTGAATGTTAACTGCCTCTTTCCTCCTCTGAAATTCTCTAATCAGAGAGGCTTGTTGAGGAAAGAAACGAAAAAATGCTGTAAGAGCTTCTCTACTCTAAGACTGGCTGGAAGTGGAAGCAATCCGAATTCAGCTACTGAATGCATACTTGCCCTGGAAATCATTCCTCGTGGAATGAAGTAAATTAAAGTGTTTATTTTTCTTTTTGTTGTTATGTAAGATTTACAAAAGCTCTGATATCTATTTTCAGAAAGGTTATAAAAAATTACTGAGGTCAAGGCTATTGCCTAATGAAGGCATCAACTCAGACCACCGCTATTTGTGGTAGGTTATGCTTCTAAAGCAATTCAAAGCCGTAAAAGAACAGCAAAACAAATAAAGCTCCAACTACATGCCATTAGGACTATGCAATCAGGTGGACCTGCAGAGCTAGGGCCCTTAGCAGCAGAAGATTCGAGCCCTTAAAAAAAAGTTTCTGCATGACATACGACCATAGTACTCTCACTTTCTTTGGCATGTTTACTAGAGTAAGCAGAAGTCAAAGGAATGGACCTAGGATTTAGAGTAGAATGTAGTGAAGCTTGTGATGGTCTTCAGTTCCTGTTGAAGTTTCTTATAGACCTGGACTAATGTCTGGAAAAACGTTATCTAAGCATATGAAGGTTGCTCTCCCAGTGGAATGCTCCAGCATGCCACAGGGAAAAACTTACTAAACTGCAGTCCTCATTTCTGAGTTTTAGTCTAATCTTTTCAGCTCTTGAGTCTAAACTCAAGGCCAGTGGTTCCCAAACCTGTTTGGGGCACAACTGCATTTTGCTAATTTCAGATGACTCCATGCAGTGGTGAGCACAGGCACAGAGTTAAAAAAGCTACTCTACCCACAAGTAACATGGGTAGGAACTTAACTTTGCCTCAACTGTACTATGTGCTTTCATGTACTCATGTGCTTTCGTACCTCACAAAGGCAGTGAAACTGAATAAAATAGAGCTAAGCTTGTCCCAGTTTGGCTTTCACTCACCATAGGTGTCAGTTACCCCTCAAAGTAAGTGCAAGTCCCCACCCCCCTGTCAAGCGCCAGCATATAAGACAACTGCAGGTTCAGGGGAATTTGGGACTTCCTCGGGCTCATGACCCCACCCATGACCATCATCCCTAGTTTAAAAACTACTGCCTCAGTCTGAGCACCAGATGTTTTTGACAGTTCTCATTTAAGCTACTCCCCTTGTCAAATGGGGATTTTTTGTAGCTCATTAGAAACAGTGCAAGGGTCTCCACTGCCTTATTGATTTGTGATTAGAAGAGAGGGCATTTAACAATCATTTCTTATACCCATAATTACACAGCCTTTCACACTACCCCCACATTCTTGAAAGTGAAAGCCTCAGAAAGCCTTTAAATTGTTTTAAGAATGTGTTGTTTCAATTCACTTTCATACATTTCTTACTAGTAAAGACAAGCCCCCTTTTTTTCAGTTTTCTAAAATAAGATCATATTAAGTCTGTTTTAAATTCTCCCCTTCCCACTATTGCCTCAGTAATGCAAGAGCATGGAATCAATCTTATATAGCAGCATATCATATTTTCTCATGTATAACAAGCCCCAAATAAAATATGCACCGTCTGTTTGGAAGACAATGTAGGAAAAAAGATTTTTCCAGGGTCATGGCTGACTGCGACACACTAATTCCTCCTGGGAACAGAGTCCAGGAAGTGTGACATTCCAAGACAGTCTAGTGAAGCAGCAAGAACTTCCTGGTGGGGAAGAGAGTCTCTTGGGATGCCACACTCTAATGTTTCCAGGAGGACCTACTCTGTCACAGAAGTTAAGCCTCAGATCCCTTCAAGGGCAGTAGCAAGACTTAGTTTTTTACTGTAACTAGCACTTGATGTAAGTACTGGTAAATAAAGTAATATTTCTACATTGTACGCCTCATGAAAGTACTACCAACAGTTCAATTTCTGCTTCGGGCACAACCTAGTGCTCAGCCAAAAGCTATGGGCATGACACTGTTAACATAGGACTTCGCCCCTTTAGCTTGCCCAGTAGATACAAACTGCAGTCATCTTGGAAACTGCATGGCATGCAGCGTCTCCAGCACAGAAAACTACTTCCCCACTTAATACCTGCACCCAAATTTTGGGGGAGGAAACGTGCATAATGTGTGAGAGAAAATAAAGTACTTTTTTGCCTCATAGTCTGTTTTCAGACCCTAGAATTCTGTAAATGGTATAGGTATGTTTTGAAATTGCTTAACTGCAAACATGAACAAAATCTTTTTTCTTTTTTTCCACATATAAATTAAATATTTACAACAGAACAAATAATTTGGTTGGGGACAATTGTACAGTATTTCTATGACTTTTCAAAGGCTATGTGTTTTCTTATGAGCAAAACCTAAAAATTCCACCCCCTTAAAGAAAGAAAACCCAAATACACACACAGATACACTTTGAAAAAATTAAAAAAAACAAATTTACCTGCAAGTGCTGTCTGTCAATGAAGAGAAACACTGACTGGTTAGGGTTGTTGATAACAATTCCAGTCTTGTCCTTTCGGCTCAGAACATGCAGAAACTGTTTTTCATAGTCACCGTGGTGAAATTCAAACTTGGCCTGTGCAGGAATGAAACAAGTGCTTATAAACAAATCACATCAAAATTACTAGTTTCCGTTTTTATCCAAATAAACCAAGACCACCACAACCCAGATTTCTCAGAGATTTCCTGAGCTGCAAGAAATCAAGCAAAAAACAAAAAATACAAGCCACAAAACTATCAATCTCACTTCAACCCACAAAGTTATAAACAGATTATCTGACCAGCAATCATGTTATTCATCTGTTGGACGCAGACATGGGCAACAGAAGACATATATGAACTATTTGCTCTAATATATCTGAAAGTAAAAACTGAATTTCTATTGCTACCACCTTGACTCAAGTTTGTTGTACAAAACAGAAAGGACATTAGACTTTCTCATAAGCAAACTAGAAAACTGTAGGCTAGATAAAACTACTATAGGGTGGTTAACCAAGCAAAGGGCAATTATTAACTGGTCCACATCGGAGTGACAGGAAGTTCAGTGGAGTCCCACCAAGGTCTGTCTTGGGCCTGGTGCTGTTCAATGCGTTTATTAATGGTTTAGATGAAGGCATGGAAAGCTCCATGAGAAAGTTTGCAGACAACACAAAACTAGGAAGATTATGAACAAGTTAGAGGATGCAAGCACAATTCAGAAGTATCCTGACAAATTGGAAAGTTGGGTTAGAACTAACAGGATGAAATTCAATGAACAGTGCTATACCTCGGGAAGAATAATTGAAAACAAAATTTAAATGGAGGACACCTGGCTGGATAGCAGCTCTGTGGAAAAGGACTTGGGAGTCTTAGTAGACTACAAAACTCAATGAGTCTGCAGTGTGATGCAGTCACACACAAGGCCAGTGCCTTTTTGGTCTGCATCAACACAAGCATTAGGTGCAAGACACAAGAGGTGACAGTAATCCTTTAACTTGTCACTGGTAGGACCTCATCTGCGGGAGTGTATGCAGGTCTGGGCTCCACATTTTAAAAGGGACACAGAGAAGTTAGAGAGGGTCCAGAGGTAGGCAATAAGGATGATCAAGGGCTTGGAAGGCAAGTCATACGAGGATAGGCTAAAGGAGCTAGGCATGTTCAGCTTGTGTAAAAGGAGCTTAAGAGGGGATATGATAGTAGTCTTAAAATACTTGAAGGGTTGCCATAAAGAAGAGGGAAAGCACCTTTTCTGTCTTGCTGCAGAGAGGAGGATGCGAACCAATGGCCTGACATGGCAGCAAAGTAAATTTAGATTGGATATCCAGAAAAATAAAACAAAAAATTCCTCATGAAATATATTCAGCATTTTACAAACAAAAGAAGTAGGGAAAAAGCAATTCTATCAAGTACAAGTGTCTGCCTGCAAATGACTTACAGGGTTTAAAAAGTTAACACACAGGAGCGCCTTGAACTGCAACTTCTTAGTAAAGCAAAAATAAGGCACTACTGGGCATTTTCCTCTGTAGTCCGTACCCAGTTAATGCATCATCTTAAAAGTGACTGCATCATTTAGCAGAACTCTAAAAATGTATCATGTTTTCTTCAGTAGAAAAGCATCCACAATTTATACCACCATTTACCAAGTACACAAGTAATTAGACTTTGGTAGGAATGAATAATTTAAGAAAAACTCACTGGATTGAGTCAAAAGCTCAGTGCAATTTGTCCATTTGCCATTCACTAAGGAGCACCAATCAAGCTCAAAAACAGCTTAAATGAAAGCTGGCTGCTTTAGTCAAGTAGAGTTGCAAGTAGAAGTGACATCAGCCAGTGAATTTCTAAGCCAATTTATAGTTTTACAATCTATCTTTCCTTTTGTTTCCCACAAAGCAGCAAGGTGAAACACACTAACAGGGGAAAATAATGTTGACTACACACACACAGTGTTGGAAAATGTTCACAAACTAAAAGAACTTCCCACCCTTTCCTTTGATATTGGCATCATCTGCAACAGCAGCACATTAAAAAATTCAGGCAAGCAGTTACCACTTAGTAAACCTAAACCTAACCCTAACAGAAAATGTGTTGCGAACTGACAGAATATTTTATGCATCACCTTGTACCCAAGCCCTTGTAAAAATATTACTACTACTACATAACTTGTCAAGAAAACAATGTAAAATAATTTAGAGATGGGAATATAAAAAAAAAAAAAAAACCTGCCAGAGCTGCATGTGGAAAAGTCTACTTTAACATGCCTGCAAACAATTAAATTCAGGCAAAAATGCAAATTCTAGACATGGTTTAAATGCATCTCAAGTCAAACTCTCTTCTATACAGTACAGTAACTACAATTATCAGAATTTTCATGACATTGTCTTGTCATTTGGATGCCTTGGTTATACTGAACAGCCACAACTAGCTCCAGCTTCTCCAGTTACTAATTTAAGCATCTATTCTTTGTGAAGACCTTTCAGATAGTTTGCAGACACTGAACCAAGCAATGAAATGAACCACAGGCTGGCATTCAAAATTTAAGCTGCTTTGTAAAATAAGTGGCTTACATGTCTCTAGTATTCACAGAGTACCCATCACTGGTATTTCTGCACCAACTGATTCATTGTAAAAACAAAATACACCTCCACAAACAGTGTGTGAACATTATGCTCACTGGTTCTTCTCTGTAGTCAAATTAATTTGTTGTAAGAGCCTGATCCAACATCAGTGAGAGCTTTGGTACTGACTTCAATGAAC